GCAAGAATTGAATACTTATCCACCTAAACACAAATCCGAGAAAAAGTGAGCCTAATTTTCTCAGCCATTAAAAAATCAAATGCTAAGGGTTGTCTAATCTTACTTGCAATCTTAGAAATGCCTTTATGATTTCAACAGCTCAGTGGGATATCATAAATTTTGATGCAGAGAAGAATAGAGTCCAACTCATCCCTCCTAGGCCTGAAGTCAGAGGACCAATTCTTGAGAATGAATGGCTTGTCGAAGAAAAACTCAGGACCGCCGGATCAAGCAAACTCAAAATCCTTAGGAGAAGTGAACTTGAAGAGAAAAAGTCATCATTCAATGAGAAATGGGAGAGATTTCCATTCAAATTCCAATATTTTTTTTATCATAGAGAAAAGAGTCGCATAATATAGCCACTTACCAATTGCATAACCAACTCAGCTTCTATTTTTTCATCAAAGAAGTGAACCAGTGGATCATTTGACAAAACAAAGGAGACCGAAAAATCCCCAGAACTAGAGATTTTGGATGCTACGAGAGAATTTCATTTGAGGTGTGCAGAGGCAGATGTAAAAAGGGACGTAGGCGGTAGAGGAAAAGCAGCGGAGGGTTGTGCATAAGGAGCAAGAAATCTTCATTGTTGAGGGAAATAAGCACCTTGTGGAGAGAAGTTGGGGGACATTTGTTAAAGGGGCCTTCTATGTTGAAGGAGGAAGAAGGAGAGGGGAATTTCATGCACTAGAGGAGGGCCAACCTCCAGCAGAGCTAGAGGAGTGGGAGGGAAGGAAGGAGCACAACAAGGGAAGGTGAGAAGACGGATAGGGTTCCCCTGGAAGCCCCAAGATTAGCCGTCCTGTCTTCTCTATGATAGATTTGATTCTGTCAATATACAACAACACATATAATATCACAGTAATAGTACAATAAAAAAGTAAGATAACCAAATCTTTAGTTTTCTCCAACTACAGCACCTTACAATGAAGACACTAAAGCAGTACAACGCATAGGATTTATAACCATCATCAAAAGAAAATATATTTTCAGCAGAGAATATACAAACCCTAACTGCTTGAATATTCAAGTGTAGCCCTTCCCCAGACAATTTAGACAACGTTGTATCCTGGCACAATGAGAAATCCTTATCATGTTCTACACATAAATAAATAGAAAAAAAAAATCTATAAATTTAAGTTGGAAATACTACAGAGATAAACCTGTTCCCATCACATGTAGGGCAAAGGCACGGATTAATAGCTATTGGATCATACAACGGAGACCACTCAATCGTTGAATTTCCTTTGCACAATTTGCAACTATAAAAGCCTTTGCCTTGGCAATTCGTACATGAAATCGCGAGCTTCCTCTGAACCAACAATCAATTTTAAAGAAGGATAAAATCAAATAAATCAAACTCAAAATCAGCTTTTGAAGGAACCAAGAAAAAGGAAAAACACCTTCTTTGCTTCAGAAATTGACTGAAGTGCTCGAATTGCTGCCGAAGAAGCCAGTGAAACCGTAAACAGGCCGCCGAGGAGAATCCCGGCGACGGACGCCATTGCTCGAAACGGCCGAGGGATTCCGCCTGCCATTCCTTGGAGTAATCGAAAGTTAGGGTTGTGAGTTCCTTTCTGTTAGCTCATTGGTAAGCATTTCATGGACATTAGAGATGGTAATGTTGAAAA